CGCGCGTGTGCCCGTCTCGAAGCCGTACGCCCACAGAGAGGGCGCCCCCGAGGTGACAGGATCGCGGTGTGCAGGCGCAAGAAGATGAGAGGAGAGATGAGGGAGGAGGAAGGCCCAGCGTGGCGATCAGACGGGGCGTGAATTAACGCTGTTTTCATGCAATGTCAACGTCCATCTGCGACGGCTTTACATCGGCCTGGTTGTCGATCACATCGCCACGCACATTGCGCAGGAGGGGGAGGGAAGAAGGGAAAGAAGAGAGGGGGTCGCGGGGTGTCAGACTGGGGCGACAATGCTTCTTGCTCATGAGTTCGTCAAAGTCTGTGATGTTACGTCAATCATCATACGCATCAACGCTTTCTGAAAGCGTCCCGACAGGGCCAAAACCCACATACGCACACCGATGTGGGGAGGGCCGTGGTCATCTTTCTTGCTCTCCAGTTTCGTGCGACACGCCTGTTGGTTTTGCGACAATGCTATGTACTGCTTTTACTTTTGTTAAAAAGAGATGAAATGAGTAAAGGAAATATTATTATTATTATCATTATTATTATTATTTGCGAGAGGTTGGGGAGAGTGGTTTTATTTTGTTAGAGTTTTTGGTATTATATTCTTTCACATATATGCCACAGTCAGCGTTGTTTGTGGCTTTTTTTATTGATGTTGGATTTTGTTTTGTTTTTTGGTCTATGCCGTATCTGCGTCATCGCTCTCCCTTGTGTGGTGCTAGCGGTTGAGGATGTACTCGCCGCTTGCATCGGGGTTTGGAAGAAACCAGAGGGGCTGCCAGCGGTTGGGGTTGTGCGGGTCAAGTGTCTCGTCGTCAGAGTAAAGTGTGAGGATTTCATCGTGCCAGTCGTCGCGTTGCCACTCCACTCGGAGCCGGCACCCGGACTTTGTCTCCCGGACAGTTTCTGAGACATCCTGGACTGTGTTGTTAGTGCCATTGGCGTGGGACTCGTTGTCGTTGAAGACGGTTTCGTCCTTCTCGTCTCTCAAAGTGGCAGCCGCAGGTGGTTTTTCGGTATTCGTTTGTGGCGTCAAAACCTCAACAACAGTGCCAAGTGCGTAGACATTCGTCATCCAAAGTCGTATTTTCTGCCCTGTCGTTAGCGCGTGCGCCCCCACCGAGACAAACAGGTTTGCATTGCGGTCGATGAGTGGCGGGGCCTCTGGCATGCCCGCGATGTACATGGGCCCCAGCGTTGGTCCCAAGTACTGTGTAAGGAATGCTTGTATGGCTTCTTCGTACCTGGCACCGGCACCCTCAGTGCCGCGAGCATCAATGCGAGCGTCGTGTGGCACCATCACATCCCACGCATGGCCATGATGGCTGTTTCGATTAGTGGTTGCCCTGAGTTCTGTTGCTGCCTGCAGCTTTTCTACGGAGCTGCGACAAGATGTTGCAAGTGCCACAACGAACGCTCCACCAATGACGGCGTCTGCAACGACAAATGGAGTTAGTGCCGTTACCACCTCTGGGTTTTTGCGTTTTGCCTCGGTGGGAGTGCCATTGCTCACCTTAGGATGGGAATGCTTTCCCCACACGTACAGGTAGCCATCGCTCGTCACCGCTGCCGACATCGTTCCGCGCCCCGCACTGATGCGAGTGATGGTTGCCGGGGCTGTTATAATGATTGGTGTGGGCTGACCGTCACCGTTGCCCATCTTGCCAAAGTGGTACACAACCGCACCCACAACAGGCGAGTCACGTAGCACAAGTGTGTGGTCTTCACCCGCCGCGATGCCACAGAGCCGCTCCGGGTGAGATCGATCAGGGAAACGCACACGCTGCGGAGTAAACGCCGGCGCCACACTCCCAGAGCCAAGCTTGCCGTAGTATCCCTCACCGCAGGTGTAAACCTCATCCAAGCTGCGACAAACAACATGTCCCCGCGCCGGAGCCACCTCCACAATAACGACGTGATGTCGCACAAACCACTGCACCAGAGTGGGAGTCTTCACGTTTGTTTTCACAGTTTGAAGCGTGCGTGCATCCATGCGTTCTCCATTGTCACCGTGACATAAATGACCGTACTGCGCCTCGCCCCATGAATATAATTCACCCTTGATATTCAAAGCAAAACTTGCACTGCCTGCTGCGTACACCGCCTTGATGTGTGCAAGTCCTGTTACCGGGGCGAAGCCGCTCACGTCAGCGGTAACACCCAGTTGACCAAAGCTATTATCACCGGACGCAAACACTCCGCCAGCAGATGTGCAAATGAGTGTGTGTTTATTACCGCAGGCGAGTCCACTAATGTTAGTCCCCGCCGACAAAAGTCCCTCAACATAAAGTCGTGTAAGTGTGGTTGTGTACTCTGGCACGCGGTGACCCAACTGCCCACTGTGATTGCTCCCCAGGCCGTAAGCAAACCAGTTTGTACCGCTTTGGTCACACGATACAGATGATGACAACGTTGTGGCCACCGCCGCAGTTACACTTCCGCGTGCCCCATCACCATCAGCTCTCGCTCCCGCATCATGATTGTGTTCAACAGGCATCAATACCGCCACCAGATGTTTCTGTCCACATGCCAGTAGTTTTACCGCGAGGTGCCGCATATCAATGCGGCGCAGCACCTCCCCGTCAGCGCCACCTAAGCCGTTGGTATTAGGGACATGGGCTCCGACATCAGTCACCATAGAGGGAGAGGGAGGCACATAAAGCGGATAGCGCAGTGCCGGCCTCTCCGGGTGTTCCACGAGTGTTGGCGTCTGAAAATTGTAATTTCCCCAAAAAAACATTGAATCCGTCTCCTTCTGTTTCCTTCGTCCAACTGGGTTCGCAGGTTGCGTTACAATAGTTCTTCTGTGGCGACTTCCCGACGCCTGTTGTTGTTCTTGCCGCTGCTGTTGTTGCCACTACTTACGTGTGTACCACTTTTTGTGGTGTGCGTCTATTAGGGAGAAGGAGCGGAAGTTTTATTGTGTGTGAATCCCACGACATGTCACAGGGAGTCACGCCGTACAATTCAAGCATGCGAAGATGGCGATAGCAAAAGATGAGCAAAAAAAAACCAAACAAAACATTTTGCTGCCGTTGTTATTCTTGTTTTTCTCTGTCCCTCTCTCTCTCCCTGGCATTGTTTATGTTTCTCCTCGCATCCTTTTCCCACTAAGACTACACACACGCACACACGCAAGGCAGAAACAAAACAACAACAATAAAAACAAACAAATAAATCCACCTACTAAAAAAAAAAAAAACAGCAACAACAACCAAAAATAACCAAAAAAAAAACGGAACCCGTGCATCGAACGACGAATAGGTGTGAAGTTCGAGAGGAGATATTAAATGGGCAGTGCAGTCGTAGACGACAGGGCCACCTCTCTGCATGTTAGGTCAAATACATTGAAGCTACGGCAAAAAAAAAAAAAAATAATGTGTGAAAAAGGACAAATATGCGCATACAGCGCTTTATCCCTTTGCAGGCAGACAAACAGAAAGATAGATGGGCACTGACGTGGATGCATCTGTGCCGGAGCAGGGGAAGGCAAGGATGCAAAGTTAAAACAATCCACCGTCATAATCCCCCCACAAAAATAATAATAATAATATGTGAAGAAACCTCCGTGTACACGTCACCACCACCATCCTCGCAAAGAAGAAAAGCCAAGGCCGCAGACGACATACCCATATATCTGAACCAAAGACATATGGTTTAATAAATATATAAAAATACCCTGACCCAAGGTGAAGAAAAACCGCAAAAAAAAAAAGGAGGGGGGAGAGGTCTCAAGAATTCGTGTCGTGTTCATACATTTCTGCTTGCGCTTATGAGTCGGTGCTACTTGTTTCCATGTGCGTGTCTACACATACACAGCGGTATTCCTCTTGTGCTCTATGTGTAGATGCATAAAACGAGACAGAAGAAAACATGTAATCATTACATCACTCTCTCCTTCTATCTTCCAGTGGGTTTGTGGGTGTGGCTTAATGTAATACCCCCACACTTTCTCTCCCGTGCCTCCCCCCCTCCCCCCCCTGCTGGTATCAGCGGGAAGAACCACGACCATCGTATGAAAGACAGTCACATATGCGGGCACAGAGGCATGTGCCACCCAAAATCAAGCAAAAAAGAAGAAAAAATACAAGTAATAAAAACCAAGCACATGTGAAAAAGGAAAACGGAAAAAAAAACTTCAACAAAGATTTTTTTTTCTTTTTGACGAGGTGGCGGGGTGGATGTGCCGTACAATTCTTTTCGTCTGTGTTTTGGTGGGGAATCGTCTCCGATGTGTGGAAACGTGCGTGCAGAGGCGGAAGCACACACACATACACGCCGTGCAGAATTCCTCCCTGAAACGTTTAATCCACAACACGCAACACTGCGCCACTATTGTCGTTAAGTTCTGCCGCGGCAACGAGTAAAGCTAGGGCATTCTCTCTGTGAAAGAGAGCACCCCTTCGGTCATTAATGTTGTGGCCTCTGTAAATAGGATTGTGAGCATGGCGGCCGTTGGAGGCGTGCGGCCTGTGCGCTTCGCTTGCCGCCGCCTCCAGGGTGGGTGCTTGTAGTAGTGGTGGTGATGGCATCCGCCGTGTCACCATCATCGTCTCATCCAGTTGGTGGTAGAAGTGGAGAAGCGGCATCGTTGGCGTCTTCTCCTGTTCCCCCTCCTTTTTGCCAATTCCTTTTGTGTGAAATAACGATAGCAGTGAGAATAGTAGCAGCGATGCACAGCAACAATCCTCAGAGATAAAGGGGCACGTGCAAGCGTGCGACACCTTTCTGCCCCCACCCTATAGAAAAAAATAACGAACAATAATGAATGCTGGTGCGTTTTACTACCAAAATGCAACAATAAACTACGCAATCGGTGGGATAGCAGGTGCCGAGGAATCAGTACAAAGCTACTCTTTATCTTTCTCACGCTTTAAAAAAAAAGGAAAGCAGTTTTTTTCTTCTCGTTTGCTTATTTGTTTTAACACTCCGTGTGTGTATTGTTGTTGTTTGTTTGTGTTTGTGTGTATGTATGTGTGTGTGTGTGTGTGTGTGTGTACACGCTTTGAGGAAAAACGCTACACACGGTTTCTCTCTCGCTGCCCCTTCAGCGGTGAGTGATAAGCGTCTCCCGGCCCATGGTGTGTAGGATGCCGATCCAATTGCGACGGGAAACACGCACACGCAAATAAAATAAAAAAGATGAGGGTGAAAGAGTGCAAAATGGCACACACACAAAGAGATGTGGGGCGATGAGAGACCTCAGCAGGCAAAGACGCTTCACAGGTAACGGCATTGGAGAATAACGGATATCAACTACACGCATATGGAGATGTAAGCATGTCCATCTCTTACGTTTCCCGTTTGGCTTCTGCAGAAGTGGGGGCAGAGAAACAAAAGGCATCTAAGAAGGCCTCTTCGCATTTACCCAAAAGTTCCTCAACGATGGAAATGTCATCATCGTCACCACGGCACGAACTCACCCGCGTTATCAAATGTGCCAGCTGCACACAACTTCCCTTATCCCACACCAACTCGCATCCTGCCGCTGTTGTGTGTGTGGCTGTCGTCTTCGCAGGCCCTGTTCCACCATCACCGCCACTCCCGCCTATTGAAGACTGAGCAGCCTTCCCACCACCGTCAACCTGCGGGGACGGGGGCAGCAGCGTGTGGTGGGTATCGGTCTCCAGTAACATTCGTTTCTCCCGCAACAGAAAGGACAGAGTCTTCTCTGCAAAATCTTTCACCCGCAAACTAGTAACGGCACCCACGCCAAAAAAAATGCGAAGGGGTTCTGCTTTCTTCACTAAACAACCCCCACCTGTTAACGCAGACCGTCGTTTTCGTATCATCATCGCCGACCGCGCAAAGTCCACGGACCCGGTAAACCCATGCAGTACAATGGCGGGCGGTGTGTCCTCAGCGGGGAGATCCTGCAACACCTGCAACATCTTTCCAAAGCTGCGCACGCAGTGCACGGAGACGGGGCGGCCATATTTCGCCGCCAACTTCATCTGCGCCACAAAGAGCAGTAGTTGCACTGCCTCGGGTGGTCCCCGCAGCTTGTCTAGTCCAATCTCACCCACTATCGCCTGTGGGTGGCGTTGTAATGCAGCTTCAAGAAGACATAAAAGTTCTTCTGAGCTCCGTTCGCGTTGTTTTCCGCCTTCCAGGCACCTCACATCAGCATCGTTGCCGGCCTCGGAACCCCCGCTGCCTGCCACTGCGTCGTTTTTTGACGGCGGTGCAGTTGAACCCGAGTCATGAGGCACAAACCACGGGTGGACACCAAAGCCTGGGATAACAACAACATGTGCAGCTGCTGGTTCCGTCGCAGCGCTTAGAGCGGGAGAAATTCGCACACGGGACGACCGAGCCGCCGTTGCCGCTGCCTCAATGAGATCCCAGTCGACATCGGGGTGTGTGCCGCACATCACGGCGCGCGCAATGTGGCACATGAAGGGTGGCGGCGTCGATACATCGTCCACCGGCGTACCTCCCTGCAGTGAGGCTGCCATCTTCACATGGCAGTGAGAGTCGGTAACAGAGAAGCAATGCCTCACTACTCGCGATGCCTGCGCAGCCATCAATTTGTGAAATGCACAGCAGGTGGAACGCTCCCCTTAAATAAAACAAATATGAAGCCAAACGAGATGCAAGACAACACATCATAACAGAAAGGGAGACACACACACACACACACACACACACACACATAACGGTGTCCTCAGGTAATGACGAGTGTGCCACCATACCCTATTTTTTTTTTTGAATTTCGCTTCTTTCCTCTCTTCTGTACTTATATGTGTTTTCGTCTTCCACGTGGATGCAGTACCGGCAATAGACGCACAGGCTGTAAGAAGCCATTACCGCAAACATTGAAAATAATCATTATATGTATGTGTATATATTGTAACGTTTCAAGGGAAAAGAAAGAGGAGCAAACAATAATAATAAAAAGGTGGAGCCGACATCGCATGACAGCGTCTCTCGGAGATGAGTTGTTTCCCCCAGCGGCATCACCATTAACTCCACCCCATTCACACCCTCCAAATGTGAATGTTGTGGCATGCAATAAATAGTAACGATGCCTGGAAAGATGGAAAAGGAGAGCGCAGTGGATAGTGAGCCACAAATTCAATAAGTTGCCTAATCCTTTCCGGGTCAACCCTCTGCAAGTATGCAAATTTTTCCGTGGCGTTGTTTTTTTTTTTCACGGAGCTACCCTCCAATCCTCCATCCTCCATCTCCATCTATCTCTTTTCTTTTTTTCTGTCACGTCATGTTTGGTCCGTCGCCTCCCTTCCGTTCCTTTTGCCTTCCTCTATCTTATTGGTTCCTCTATGCACCTGCATGCGTGTGTAATTGCCAGTCGGTTGACTTTGCTTGTGCTGTGATGGGTGCGCGGGTTGCTCGCCGTTAATCTTTTCCCCCGGCTCCACCCCATCACCTCGACACACCCCAGATATCCATTCCGGCTGAGCTGAGGACCCGTTGCCTGAGGTTCCTCTCTCAATTTCCACTTTGGCACCCTAAAATTCCCTAATGTTCGCAGGACTCCGTTCGAAGTCGCTTGGCCGCTGGCTCACCGGTACAAATGACGCCACATCCTTCTCCCTGATGCTGCGAAGGCGGCGACTTTTGACTCAGGGGTCGTTTTGGCTTCCGCCGCGCCACGATATGATGCACTGGCTGGCTGTTCGACGTCTCCGAGTCACGACCATTGCCTTGCGGGGGAAAGAGCGAAATTGACATACTGTTGCTGTGTTCATTCCATTGCACCGGATTTGTTAAGGACTGCGGCATCGAGAGCGCTGAGTACTCCGACTCTACCGGTAGCCGCGAGACGTACGGATTATTATTGCGGTTCCTTTCATCCTCCACGTCTTCGCCGTAGAACTCTTGCGCGGTAGGCAACTCCTCCGCCTCTTTCACCGCAAATTGGGCCTGAATGCATTCCTGCAGTTCCTTATACTTGCCGCCCTTCATCTCCCGCGCGTCCTCGCGCAACTCCTCCAACTCCTTCGTAAGCTCCACAGGAATGACGCCGACAGGGAATGTCGCCAATTCATCCAACGCCGCCGTGAAACGCTCCTCAGCCCCCTCGAAGTCTCCTTCCTTCATGTAGCAGTCTGCAATGCCGTACAGCACGGCGGCGAGACTACGGTACGGCAGAGACTGCGGCGCCACCTGTTGAATAAAACGGTACGTCAACAGCTCACTCTCGTACTCCTTCAAAGCACTGTCAATGTCCTCGCGCTCCACATGCAGCTGGGCAATGCTGTCGTGCACCTCCGCCAGGCGAAGTTGCACCTCTATGTCCTCTTCTCCCCGCTCCTCCTCTTGCTTCTGAAAGCACACACGGGCAACATCAAGATTGATAAAACACGATTCAAGTGCGTCTTGATCCAGTGGTTGCAGTGCCGCTTCCACGGTGCTCTTTGACTGCAAAACACGCAACTGCGAGAGACCGTAGTCAAGGAAGTACACCCCGCAAATAGGGGCTGTGGCGCCATACTTTTTCTCAAAATGCCGAACTACACGGTACTGAATGTCAAGCGCCTCCTCGTAGTGGTGCTTGTTGTAGTGAAAGAGGCCGACAGCGCGTGCCTCGTTGGCTTCCTCGTCTGTAGCAAATGGAACCGCCTCCTCCTGTTCCTCATCACTACTGGCTCCATCACTGTCGTGCTCACCTTGATCTTTGCACGATGAAACCTCTTCTCCCTCCTCCTCCTCCTCATCTTCCGTCTTTGGGATACCCATCAATTGGTGCCCCCGTTTTTCTTCCTGCTGTTGCTGCAGTGAAAGATACTCCGCTTCCCGCTTCGTTTTCACATCAAATGCAGCCGGGGTGTGTTCCTGCCCTTTCTGCCCATGTGCGCTCTGATCCTTCTCTGCCAACGACTCCATGACCTCCTCTTCGTCTCCCGCCTCCCACACCTATTTTTTGCCACAACAAGACTTCCTTCACCCGCGCGGACGAAGCGGAGAACAGACAGACAAATCCCTCTTTCTACCAGGCACAGAGACAAGAGACAGCTGCGGAGAGAGAGGTGACGAGGGGGAATCAAGAAAAACGATATCACACAGAAAAAAAACTAGTCGGAGTGAGACGAACTTCGTGCGTCCCCTCTTCCAGTTGAGAGCGGAGGTATACACACAAACACACACATTGAGAGAGAATAAATAAGCTGCATGACACAATACATTGCAACAAGTAAAAAAAAAAAAGGATACTTTTAAAAAAGAGAACAAATAGAAAAGCAAACACCTTTCGGCATGCCCCATATTTATTTAATCATTGTTTCTATCAACCCATCGCCCTAACATGCACAACCACAGGTATATGTATACAAAGAGATGGGAAAAGGGGAACGGGTGGAAGTAAAGACGCCCACATTTCACAACCCCGATGAGACCGGCCAAAAAAAAAAAAGAAGAAACGAACAATCATGAACAACAACAACACACACACACACACACATACACACACACTCCATATGGAAGAAATGCAAAATGATCCACGGAAACAAGCAACAACAGATGGCTTTTAGCAAACTTTCAAAAATAAAGCCACAGGGCTACCGTCAGTAACGTATAGAGCTGAACAACGACAATAAAACAAGAAACAACACACAACCACGTTTAAAGTATAATGGTTCTTCACGGACAAAAACATGCATGTATACACGCATATGCCGTCATATATATATATATATATATATTACATGGAAACATGTAGTAGTCTTGATGGACCGCCCTCCCGCCTCCCCCGACTGAACGACAATACACAGAAAGAGATAGCATAACACAGCAAGAACAATACTGCATCAAAAAAAACCAGCAAAACAAAGTTGTTTTTTTTAAATGTCATCTCTTAATGTTTTTGTTGCGGTGCTTGCGGTGGTGACAGAAAAAAAAAAGCAAGAACGAAGGGATCCTAATATGTACAAGCAAACCAAAAAAAAAAAAAAGGATCACTGAAAGCTATCAAGGGGACTCTGCACTTCCTTTTCATCTCTATGCGAGAGCCTAAGTACTTTGTTGCCTCTCCTCTATTTTCATCGTTGCCGCAGCTTATATGCAAACGGCAAACGGTTTGGGAAAGGCTTCGAGGTGGAAGTCGGGTTTATGCTCCGCTTCACCTCTCGCAGCGTGCGTTCAAGGGCACCACTTGCGGCAAACTGCGGGGAGACGTAGTTGCCAACGGCGCAGTAGTCCAAAAGTGCCAAAACACATGCGCGGCCCACCTCTGCGCTTTGCGAAAGAATACATGGAACTTCAATACAACGCAACATCTCATGTTTGTCAGGATCACCTCTACAGTCACCTCTAGTGCGCGTTACACAATTTTCCGCACACTGTTTGGGACAACCTGCTCGAGAGGACTGCGGCTTCCGCCCTCGTATCAAACGAGATCGCGTCGTGGTTAACTTTGGTGGTGTACTCACTTCGCCCCGCGTCGCTGTGGCAGATCGCAACTGCGGCCCATAAATGTTGGCATATTGTGCATCCCACATGTCGGCGTCCCCATTATCATTCGCCGACGCATGATTTCTGTCGTTGCTGCTATTTTCTTCAGCACATGTGCCGTCAACAAACATCCTGTCGCTTGAGAAATGGGTGAGCTCCACGGTGTAGGAGTGGATGAGCCTCTCGCCAAAAAGCACACGAGAACTGCCCTCTTTGCTTATCATGTGTCCTCGCCCAAAGCGACAGAGTTGGTAAGAAAATAACCTTTTTGCATGGAGACTCACAATCTTGGGGAACACCATGTTCCAGTGCTGCACCGTCTCGGGAAGGCAGTTTCCAAACATAAATCCACTGGACTGTGAAGCGTGTGAATGAAAATCCATATACATAAAAAACCTGTCACGGTAAGTTTGTTGCAGATTATCAAACACATTTCGAAGTGCCGTCACAGTAGGTTGTATTCGTGGATTGGGGTTATTGTAGCACCGATTCAGGTTAAAACCATTTTGGTCCAGGCGGGAGTGGCCACGTGCAACACCGTCTGGATTCAACATGGGCACAATATAGAAAATAAAGTACTCCCGCACCAACGCTGCGCGTGGGTCACGTGAAAGAAGAAATGAAATAACTCCATGAATACCATGCGAAGCCGTCACCTCACCTGGATGGACCCTCCCACTCACCAGCACAACCTTCTTCCCTGTTTCAAAATGAGCATACGGCCCAAGAATAGCCTGACGCGCCACCTTATTTCCCCCCTCCTCACGCCGATCATTGCGAGTGAAGAGTGTTCTGGCGTTGGTATTCGTGATAATGAGCAGATGCATTTTGCGTCCGTCTTGTGTGTGGCACAAAACCCGCTCCTCAAACCGAATCCCACCAAAGCTTTTCCTTACCAAGTGGTGCCAATTGGCAATGTGGCACAGAAGGTCGGCGTAGGTGTAGGGGACGCAGAAAGCCACATGAACCACATCGTTACAGCGAGGAATAATAACAAACGACAACTCCCCATCTTCGTCATTGTTAATGGTGCGATACACGCACGTTCCCACCGGTGTCCAGACGCGCGGGTAATTTCCTGCACACCACACCGGACGCATACCATTTCGAGTATACAGCTTCGTGTTGGGCTGAATGTTAACAACCCTCAAAGAAACGGCACAATGAGGCCGTACACCTGAAATGGCAAAACGAAACCAAAGCCGCTGCGCACACCTTGATTCTGACTCTAACCATAACGTAAAGGACGGCTGATATGCCGCGCTTTTGATACGCTCTACACGTGCCAAATTCCCGCCCTCCATATCCGAAGAAAACACGAGACCCTCCTCAGGAAAATTAAACACTCTCTGGTGGGATGGAGAGGCGGTGCCAAGCACAATACCTACCTGACGTTCCCACGTTTCCACAAAATCCTCTGCACCACCCCAGTGAGGAAAACGCTCCAGCACAAACGCTGCAGCTTGTTGAATAGGGTGCCAGTCTAACGACAAATGAGACTTTACATGTCCATCCATGTTATTATTACTATTTGCACCAAATGAGCTATGACGATCGGCCCACGCGCAAGAGGAAAAAATGGCACCTAACACGTACTCTTGCTCTGAAAACCAACGCTCTGGCTCACGTGGATGCATAAACAATGTAGAAACACCTCTTTCAGCAGATTTATTGCATGGCGCCGTATTTAACGCCCAACGCGCTGAAGACATACTGCCAGCATCATCAACCAACCTTTTTGCTGCATGTTTAATAGGCGAGGCCAAATCTGCCATTCCTAACGGCGTACCTTGCGATGCTTGGCCTTTAGCTGACCTCAATTGTTGATATCCCATAAGTCCAACGTATTCCAAGCACCGTGCAAGGACACGATCGTCAACAAGCCAAACCTTTTTGGCACCATCCAGAAAAAACGCACTGTACAGACTCATGGAGCGGCAAACTGCATCTGAAATGCATTCTTGTGAGTTTCGTGAAATAAAACGATGAGTCGTTGTATCACGCGATTTTGCCGTCATAACTGCTTGTCGGCTCAACAATCCCCATGAAAAATGGTGCCTTGGACGAGAAGAGCGAGAAGGTCCTGCTGAACCATTTTCTGCACCCAAGGCTGTTTTGGACGTCAATGCCACCGTGGAATCAAGCGGAAACCCCTCTTTTGTATCATCCTTCCACGATGCGTTTGTCTTCTGATGCTTCTGAATGTACTGATACACTGCCTCCTCCTCATCTTCCTCGTCATATAGTGTGTACGAGTCAGCTTCATTCAAATTGGACTTGCAAACGATTCCATTCTCTCCCTGTGGTTCTTGCTGATCTTCCCTTTCTTCCAACACCTCGTCCATATACCGTTTCGCTGCGGCGGCATTTGGTATCTGCGTGATACTAGAGTTCAGACTAGAGCACTCGGACGGGATGTTGTGATTAGCCAACGTATTAGCATTGATTTCCATACTAGTATCACTATTGGGTGACTGAGGTGACTGAGGCGGCGGTGACGAAGAATTTTCTACCTCCTCTTGCTGTGATGAACACACCATGGCGTTGTTATTTTGCCTCTTATGAGGCATCGCTTTTGTTGTTGCTGTTGTTGGTGTCTCTACCAGAACAGTAGACCCATGCTCATACGAGGGCCCAGACAGAGAACTACTCTTCACTGGTGTTCTCTCTGTTTCTGGAGGAGTCTTCGGCAGAATACGCCGCAACAACCCAGCAGTCCTGCGGCATTCCCTACCGGTGGGACGGCTACTGCGTGACTCATTCTTCCCTCGTGCAACTGAAGGGGATTTGTACGGGCGTGGAGTGGCCCCCTTCAAGCTGCCACTCATATGGGACCCATTTTGGTTGTTGTTGTTGTTTGCATTTATTGGCCTTCGCGGGGTGGAAATCACCGTACCGCTGCTGTGACGCTGCATCACGCACAGCTGGGAGGTAAAGGAGGCAAACACGTCCATTGTTGCTGGCACCTTCCGGGATCTTCTCGCCCCCTTGACAGTGGAAGAATCCCCCAACTTCACTGGCATCATACCTCGTGAATGTGTGTGTGTGTGCGCGCGCGTCTACGCGTATGTGTACTCGTTTCAACGGCGTAGAGCGCGGACTCCACGCACCTTCACGGACACCAGAGTACATACGAAGAAGAGAGGAGAAAGCACGTCATCATTAACAAAGAAAGAGAGAAACAAACATAAAAAAACAGAGAATTTATTTGGAATCCCAGCAGAAGCGTAAACGGAGGTACCCTGTGGCAGGGGACTGGCGTTCACAACAGAACCCGCCGCAGTAGCAAAAAAAAAAAAAAACCACACATGAAGGGGAATTTCAGCAAGCACCAAGCACAAGGCACATTGAAAACAAACCTTTTATTTTTCCATCCTTCATCCTCCAGTTGGGATTGCCGGTTCCTCCTCCCACTTTTTTTAATTTGTTTGTCCCCCCCTCCCACATTCGGCCGCCAAGCAAAAAAAAAAAACAGCATTGCAAGAGAAACAGTGACAGTACAAGCATGTTATATATATATATATATATATATATATATATATAACAACAACAC